AGATTTAGCGTACCATAGACAAGGTGACAACACGGTGTATATATGAATTCACCTTGACTGACCTGTGATACCGTTGCGATTCGAAAAGACAACGAAGGAATCGTGATGATAATGACCTAACCTGAGAGAAAAATAGATTTTGGGAGAGCTCGTTCCATTTTGTTCTGCTTATGGTATACATATCATGTAATTTTTAACACTCCTTGTATCAGTTGAAGGAGTGAAATTTCTTGGTTTTCTCTTTTGATTATTTTCACGATAATTTTTTTTTAGCACTGCACTTCTTTTGAAATGATTTCGTATACTTTTGATAAAGTGTTAGTCGTGTATAATCGGCTGTATCCCTTGACATGAGCAAAGATATATTTCATTATATTTGTTTTCATTTGTCATTTTAGAGTATGAGTAAACCGCACACACACACACACACACACACACACACACACACACACACACACGCACACACACACACACACACACACACACACACACACACACACACACACACACACACACACACACACACACACACACACACACACACACACACACACACACACACACACACTTGCACGCACGCACTTTCTAATTTTGAATTTGATTAGATTCATGATTTTGAATGAAGGGTATGAATACTATTTTAAGTTCAACATGAAATGGATCTACAATGGAACTAAAAGGGAAAATGCTGTATTTGTAGTGCTATCAAAAGATGTATAGAATGCCTTTGTAACCCCTAATGGGAAACGAGTATATGATATATATTCCAAACATACAGTGAAGATTTTTTCATGTTCAATGAAACATCTATCACTGCAATTTTCTCTTTTGTGCGTGGAGGCAATATTATGAAAAAGAGAGGAAAGGAAAACGAGAAAAAATTATGTACGCCAGTCCACCCTAGGTACAAACGCATAACCAGGTTCCGTAAAAAAAATAAAAGAAAACGAAGTAACGCCTGCACCTTATATACAGTATATATTTTTTAAGGATACCCCTTTTTTTGGATTCAATGGATATTTCCCATTTTCTGACATTCAGATAACTCCTCCATAGTGTTATATGAAATGGTGTATTGTGTATATACCTTTTTTTCTAAAACTGACGTATATTACCCTGATGTTGATAGCCAATATGTGTGTAATAAGTATAAAGTTCATACACAGTTACGGTAACTGTCGAGCTTTCGTGTTTGAACAATATTGAACTTTGAATTTAGAAATAGCAATACCTCATATTGTATCTTTTTTCTGGATATTGTTTTTTTGATTGTCATTACTAATTGAATTATCATAATAATGACTTTTGTATTGTTATTACATTTGGTGTTCATACTATTGCTATTGTTTATTTTTCTCTATTTTTAATATTATTAATAATGCTTTCATTATTGATATTATTATTATTATTATTTTCGATATTATTTAATTATTATTATCCAATATTATTATGGTTCCGTTATTATTATTATGATCTGCATTATTATTTTTATTATTATTATTGTTGTTGTTGTTGTTGTTATTATTATTTATCATGATTATTATTGTCATCTTCATTATTATAAGTTAAGAAAAGAGATGTATCCATCATTAATTAGGCATATTATGATGATAATGCCGATAGTTTTGTTTATATATATAATATTGCCTTATACTGATGCCGTTCTTGCCCCATAGAAAATACTGTGCAAATTACAATTTTGTATTATATTATGCCAGATTTTTAGAAATTATTTCCTTCTGATATTGATCTGAAACGCCTTTTGAATTTGTAAAGCTGCAGTATTTTTTGTATGACTGAATTATTGTACTACTGAAACCCCACTGTTATCAGGATTAATCATAGTATAATACCAGTTTCTCGATACATTATTTTATATATATATCCAATTCCATGTTATGAAGTAGGACGTAATACACTTTGTAAAGAAAAAATACATAAAGTATATATATGGTCATATTTTGAACTACGGAGTACTGTATTAAACTGATTTAAATGTATTCCACCTTTTTTCTAGCTAGTCGCATTTTCATATTTTTCTTTTTATTTTCCCAAATTTGTTTTAATAAACATATTAATAACATATGTTTTTTGCGCTTGACCTTTTCTCTACTGTAATTCTAGAAGATGTGTATCAGAAAAAATAGGAATTACATTTCGTGTTCTCAAATGGAGTGTGTATGATTTTTCTAGTATTGTACAGTCACGGTCAAAACTCTTGTCAAACATGTTTCGAATTCCGTTTCGAACATCCGAACATTTGTAAAGGGTGAGACAGATTCGAAGCTTCAATTCAATGAAAGACAAGTCCGCCACTGTTCACTGACTTTATACTTGACGTGGCCAGACTTCCGGAAAGAACTGGGGTGAAGTGGCAGAAAAGGCGTTCTCCTGACCAAAAGACTGCCTTTCTTTTCCCGATTTTGACTGAAGGGCTATTTACTTTTCCAGAATTTCACTGAAGAGGTATTTTCTCCCTGATTTTGAGAGAAGAGACATCTGATTTTAATTGAAGGGGCATATTCTTTCCCTGATTTCGAGTGACAAGGTACTTGCCTTCTCATAATTTTGACCGAAAAAAACGGATACGGGCTAAAGCACAACGCACACAGGATCTATATAAGTACTTGCATAGACCTTGAACACACACACACAAACTCGCTAGCACGTCGCTCTTCAATACTAACATACCGTGTCTTTTAGTGTCAAATAGAATAATATGAAGACCGGAGGTTGGGAAGTAAAGAAATGGCATAGTTCGACACAATTATTTATGCTTCTTTATATACATATATATATTTTTTTTAGATTGTATCAATCAGTTCCTCTTCTCGAAATATCTATAAAGTTGGTGAGATTAAATTCCTCACTGGCCGATTTGGGAGTCCGTCTTATCCTGTTTGAGGAAAAATAATTTGCATTAAAACACAAATGTTCCTGCCGCTTAGGAACTACAAATAGGTACATATATATATATATATATATATATATATATATATATATATATATATATATATATATATATATATATATATATATATATATATATATGTATATATATATATAGATAGATGATTATAGATATATATATATATATATATATATATATATATATATATATATATATATATATATATATATATAATATATATATATATATATATATATATATATATATATATATATATATATATATATATATATATATATATATATATATATACACATACATACACATGTGTGTGTGAAATGTCTCAAACTGAACATTTCTTTGCAATAATTCAATAAAGAAAACCTTTATTGTTTCCTATAAATTGATTAGGTAAAGAAAAGAAAAAACATTCTATTCATTTAGGCAAATCAATACATAAAGAGGGAATTAAACACTGAAAGGTTTGGAATCAGAACCCTTCACTGTACTCGTTGAACTTTATCATTTTCGCGAGTCTGTTTACATCACGTCATTTACCTCATGGTACTCAGGTCCCCAGATGCTTTTCTGTTCATTGCGACCCTGTCAGCCTTTCTGACGAAGGATTCGGAAGGGGCGATCCAGTCACTTGTCCCAGAGGAATATTTGCTGCAAAAGTATTTATTATAATACATAAGGAGAAGGTATGTACGTTGTGGAGGAGAAGTATATTATGTTGTAATATTATGTACGTTGTGGAGGAGAAGCATATTTTTAAGCAATTGCCTATTACGTTGGGAATACTTGTATCGTGTTTGCAACATGGCTTGATGTCAACTGGTAGATTCATATGCAGAATGTATTTGGGATGCTGTAAAGGCCAGAGGCTGATTATATACCAATAAGATATTTCTTAATCTGTATATATCCAAATTCATGGTGTGAATCGGCCACAATAATTAGGTAAACACGGCTCAGCATTTCCACTCATCCATCCAAACATAAATTCAGGTAACATATATCTTACTTGCCAGCACTCAGACAAAAGACACCAAACATTTAGAAAAAAAGAACAATATATATCGACGAGGCACGCCTGTTATTACTCATGAACACAATAAAGCGTACACATTAATGAAATGAAACACTGCCAAAATAGAAACGAAATAAAAAGTGACGTTTCGAACTCGTCAGTTCCTCATCTGACAATCCGTATCAATTTTTTTTTCTATGCCCGACGAGGAATTCTTGAAGAGTTCGAAACGTCATGTTTTTTCCCTCTCGATGGTGGTTGTGTTTCCTTTCCTCCTGACTCCCATTTCGCTCACGCGCCCAACTCACACCTCCTCTTACCAGTACTTGGACAAAGGACAGCCGACGATGTACAGAACGTGGGACTCCTTTTCACAACCGAGACTGCGAGCCTTTGCGGTTTCGAGGGTGGCGTTGACGGGGTCCTGGGCTGCCGGACCCTGCGACGGGGCCTGATCATGGGCGTAGGCGGGGGAGAATGGGCGCACTCGAAACTTTAACACGCCTTCGTAAATTTCCTTCACTTCCTGTTCGTCTGTTCCTAGGCACTGGAGGGATGAGGCAGAGATTCAGCACGAGGAAAAGGAAGAAGAGGAAGAGGAGAGAGTAGATGGGGGGAGGAGGGAGGAGGAGGAGGAAGAAGATGAAGAAGAAGAAGAGGGAGAAGAGGAGAAAGGACAGGGAAAAGAGGAGAGGGAGGAGGAGAAGAAAGAAAGAAAAAAGAATAATCTGAAGACATGGGAAGAAGTGAAATAAAAAGAAGAGAACAAAGAATGAAAAGAAAAAAATATCTAGAAGACGGGAATGAAAAAATACACCGACAAACTAGAACGTAATACTAGAAAATCATTGGCTGACAGAATTTTGATTTCACATTTTTTAGCAATGTAAAAAAAAACACCGCACTTACAGCTTGCATGAGAAAGAAGCTATTGTCATTATCTGCCCTGCTTGCAACACCCAAGAACAAGACAAAAGGACCTGGCTGAAAGAGACAGGAAAAAGGCTATCAGCATATAGTTAAATACGATTGAAATGAGCGTAAGAGAAGAGAATCTGAGTGAAAATTCAGGTAACTGATAACTGATCTCTTCTGATGGATTCCGTATCTTGCTCAACGTATTAACTCAGGTTATTTGATTATTATCTATCACTTATTCTGATTCATCTATCGTCCATTGCTATCATTTTATTGTGAAGCATGTGAATAGTGCGTACAAAAGAGGCGTGGATAGTATTAGGACTCTCTCTCTCTCTCTCTCTCTCTCTCTCTCTCTCTCTCTCTCTCTCTCTCTCTCTCTCACTCACTTCCTTTCACGAATCAGCTTCTTACTTTGTTCTTAGGGATGATATTGGAGTGGCAAGGATGACTTTCCAGGTGAATCTTCGTGGCTCGTCGGATTTCATCTTCGAACCATTCGGAATAGTTGTCCGCCAATAAGTTGCAAAATTGGTGATTTAAAATGGTGTAGATTATTAAAAGATCAATATTTCAGACTGACTGAAGTGTTTTTTTTCTGTTAATTAAGGATATTTTAATGTTTCTTTCATCCATGTGATCGTATTGAAAAACGTTTCAAAAAACAAACGAAACAAACCACAGCGAACTACATGCCAAAAGGGCGTTTTTCTTAACACAAACATCTGCCTCACAAACAGAAAACAATAACTGTTTAAAGCAAACCTATGCACATTCCTGAGCTGCACGTGTGGGCGGTAGTTGATGAGCCTCAGATCGAAGTAATGGCGTTGCTCCCAACCCGTTACGTGGGCGCCCGCAGCACCGGCGTGGGCGGTTCGAGACACCTCGGGCACTACCGCCTGCAGGCCCCGACGTACGCCTTCGTTGTACAGCCACCAGTCCCAGTCCACCCCGGCCTGCGGTTTGGGGAAAGGAGGCTTATGGCGCTGGACGGTTATAAGACGGGCGTGAAGAAGGCATGCTATAGATGTGTTCATATGGGCGCGCATACACGGGCGGGCGTGAAGAAGGCATGCTATAGATATGTTCATATGGGCGCGCATACACACGGGCGTGCATCTCAACATCGACCCCTTCCTGCGACTTCACTTACACCGGCGGGCACCCAGTCCGGCAGCACCTGCGTCGCCCACCTCCGGCAGGTCATCCAGCCATACTGCGGGTACATGTCGGCGCGGAGGAGGGTCGTCGGGTCACAGGCTGTCCCCGGGTAGGAGTTCTGACCGAAGGCGCTGACCAGGTAGAGCGTCGGGTCGCGGGTCAGCAGCCACGCGGTCTGGTGGAAGTAGCTGCTCGAAGGGGGGGGGGGGGGGGAAGGAAGAGGTCAGCGATGATAATGACAGAACAACGAAAGGCAAAAGCGAAAAAAAGATATCGGCTCGAAGGATAAATTTTAGATTCAACACTGTTGTCTGGCTCTAAATTTTGACATAGGAAGTTCAGTCAACGTGCCAACTGAGAACTGTGTGATCGCCTTTCAAACTAAGATCTACCACACAAACCTCAAAATGTCTGGAGCGAGAATAAGGTCGTCCTCCAGCAGGATGGCCTTGTCGACATGCGGCCATCGGTTGAACACGCTATACAGCGCAAAGGCAATGTTCATGTTTGTTCTGAAACATAATCAAAATCGACCTATAAATACTTGTTGTGAATGACATAATTCTTCTGAATAGAATGTGGACATTTTATCCATATAAGAGAAAAAAATAACATGGGCAGCGTCAAACATATAAGACATGGTTGTGCTCTTACCTGGTATTCTCGCCCGGCAAGCCCTGGGGCACGTGAACCGCCACCTCGACCCCGAAGAGCCTCGCCAGGCGCAGGGTCTCCAGGTGCGCCCCGTCCACCACCACGAGCACCCGCGTCTCCCCGGCTCCCGCCACTTCGCCCAGGTTCTTCAGAAGCCTAAGGGAAGGACGCGTTCATTTTAACCTTAGGAAACAGGCAAAAGGGGTAAAGAGGATCCCTTTTGTCCTTACTGTGTCCCACTAGTTTTCCGCAATCACCTTCCTCAATTCGGTGAGCGATTAGTAGGAGAAAATGCATCGACGGACATAGACTAAGCGTAACGGTAATTAAAGAACAAACTGCCGCTGTTACCTGTAGAGGTGGAATGGCTTGTTCGCCGTCACGATGGCCACCGGGATTTCCTCCGCCATCGGTATCGACGGCTGTGTGGAGGGAGGAAAGGAAGGAAGAAATACATCAAACGGCGTATCGATAACAGAAGGCTGCGAAAACCAATACCTATTGCAGAGGCAGATATCTTCAGCATATGATTAACTATATGCATATCTATAGAGCCTTCTTGTTTGACAATGACATGGGTACGTATTAAGGAGTCAGTAGAGGGAAACTGCTGAAAACGCACCAGTACAATAAAACAAAAGAGAGTAAGACTGCTTAATTAAGCACACACACACATCGAGGACGATTCCGAAACTGTTATATCACTTATTTCAATAAATTTGAATAAATAAGACAATATATATATATATATATGCATATATACATTGATAAGTGTATGTATATATATTGATATGTATATATGTATATATATTGATATGTATATATATATATATGTGTGTGTGTGTGTGTGTGTGTGTGTGTGTGTGTGTGTGTGTGTGTGTGTGTGTGTGTGTGTGTGTGTGTGTGTGTGTGCGTGTGTGTGTATTTTATATATATATATATATATATTATATATATATATATATATATATATATTACATGCAGTCATATATAAATATATACACGCAAATACAAAATACAAATAAACAGCAAGCCCCCAGCTACTCCAGCGGCTGACCGAAGAACCGTAAGACAAGGTCACGTGACTCACCGGGCGCGGGCGGCGGGCTGGCACCAGAGGCCGCTCGCAGCTGCACAGGTCTCGGTAGCCCTCGTACGAGCCGCAGAACTCCGCCTGGTCTTTCAGCTCCGCCTCCTCGTGCCATCTGCAGCCTCGGTCTGGGAGGGTTTAGTCGGGGTTTAAATGTGTTGGTTTTGTTTTGAATTAAACTCTCTCTCTCTTCCTATTTCCCCGCTCCTCTTTCTCTCTCTCTCTCACTTTCTCCCTCTCTCTCACGCACACTTTTTTCCCTCTTCCTCCCTCCATCCCTCTCTCTCTCTTCCTCTCTTCTGACTTATTACTCAATACTCTCAGTGTCCTTGAAATCACACCAACAACATTCGTTTGTCTACAGCCTTCGTCCACATCAGTCACTTGTATTGCGCAATCCAAATTTACACCGCCCTGTCTCTCACACCTTTCCATTCACTTATCAACAGCATTATCATTTACACATTCCATACCACGCCCATCCCAGTGTCACCATACATTTACACCATGCACCTGTCATCATTACTACCACCACCACCATCATCATCATCATCCACGCATCACCACCATCTCCCTCACCGTCATCATCATTATCACCATCTCCCTCACCGTCATCATCATTATCATTACCATTTTCATCATTATCATCATCATGAGACCTTCTCGTTCCCAGAATCCATACCTCGCGGCGCCCTTTCCAGCGTCACCTCCAGAAAGAGGCTCCTCGCGGGTCTGCTGTGCTCCCGCGTCGCTACGGCTTCCGCGATGACCTTTCCCCGCGCTAGGTCAAGGGCCGCGCCAGGGAAGAGTGACCCCGTGACTGCCGCCATGGCCCAGGGCTCGCCCGTGCAGACTCGGGGCAGCATTCGGGCACCCAGTCTTAAAAGGGCAGCTTCTCCCTCCGGTGCCAGGAAGGACAGGAAGTACGGCTGCATGGGGAGGAGACAGGCAGCGTGTGGGTAATCAAATACGGCCGTTTTCTATTTAGTGTTATGTCGGGTCAAGCGCTTCAGTCGCCAGTCCTTGATACTCTACAGCAGCGATTGCCTGCGGGGGTCATAGGATTCCGTCGTAAAATGAATTTCGTCTCTCGTTTTCATTCTTCTGGGATGTATATGCTTGTCATATAGCATGCACCTGTGAGTATTGTGTTTCGAGCTCCAGTAGTGCGTGGAACAGGCGACTTTGCGCTGTGCTCTAAATATAAATTCGAGTGTGGTGTGTGTGTGTGCGGGGGGGGGGGGAGGGGGGTCGTTAAAGAAAGGGTGCCACAGAAAGGACAGGAGAGTTCAGAGTGCCATCACTAAGAAGGGTTTGGGAACCACTGATCTACTAGAATATTTCTATGTGTGTGTGTACTGATACTGCATTTCTGTTATCAGAGAAAAAAACGTTTAGGTTAAGAAATTTTAAGAATTAGTAAGTGATCATGCCTTATGCGACTTCTGCAGACTCACAAGCCTATACAAAATACAAGAATAAAAAGTTAGTCAAGAACTTTATCTTAAAAATGTGTTCCTTCTCTCATACTTTCCCTTCTTGCGTCAAACAATGTGTTGTTATAGATTAGGATTCAACATCAATAGAAGATGAGGACTTCCTTTTCCATGCCTTCCTTGCTGTTGTCTAAATCTGTCATACTGTCATCTGTCATTGCTATTAAAAATACATATTAAATCTCAGTCCATAAAAGGAATGCAAGTGCATACCAGGCCTACAATAATAACAACACGTCCAGGTTGCAGAGCTTCCAGAAAGTGTTGCAGATTCTTCCCTTCCGATGGCTGGAACGTGCGAAACCGCCGGCTCGCCATGACAGAGCCCGTGCGTTCGTTCAGGGCAAGCACGTGTATTCCTCCCTCTTCGCGTTGGCTTGTGAATTCGTAGAGCTGTAGGTTTTTAAATAATTTTAAGATAATCAGGAGGTGAGTCTGAGTTATCCATGCCCTTACTTTATTCAGTATTGTTGGTTAAATTGTAGGTTTTCAATACAAATAATAGATACATTTAAAAGTGCTGCAGTGTGCCTTACTTAAATCTTTACTCTAGAGAATATTTTTGAGGACTAATTCCCTTTTAATCTTTGAATTCATACTACGGGCATTGTAGGTTTTCAGAAAAAAAGTCTAAAGAAATTGGACTAGTTTACCCTCAATGTGCGATGGTAAAAAGAAAATGGGAATAAAAGTTTTGTTCCTAACCTCAGGAAAGTTAAAATGTGCCTTACAATTGTTCGTTCTTGCAGGATTCTTAAGCGGGTAGTGTTGATGTGAACCGATAGATATAAATTGTTTTCTTCCAGAGCTAGAGAAGAGACAAAAATGAATAATCACGATATAGCACAAGAATTGATGATGTCACTATAAAGAAAGATCATCAACTATGCAATTATTGGTACAAGATATATTTCATAGAATTTTGTTCTCATTTGATTGCTAGTTATATTTGCCTGAAATGAATCTATAAAAAACAGTTATATGGTTTTGGTTTAATTTTTAGAATGGGGGGAATGGATTAAAAGTATTATTAGTGTAATACAAGAGAGAGAGAGAGAGAGAGAGAGAGAGAGAGAGAGAGAGAGAGAGAGAGAGAGAGAGAGAGAGAGAGAGAGAGAGAGAGAGAGAGAGAGAGAGAGAGAGAGAGAGAGAGAGAGAGAGAGAGAGAGAGAGAGAGAGAGAGAGAGAGAGAGAGAGAGAGAGAGAGAGAGAGAGAGAGAGAGAGAGAGAGAGAGAGAGAGAGAGAGAGAGAGAGAGAGAGAGAGAGAGAGAGAGAGAGAGAGAGAGAGAGAGAGAGAGAGAGAGAGAGAGAGAGACAGAGAGAGAGAGAGAGAGAGAGAAATTAGAAACAGCGAAACAAACTAGAAATGAAATTGCAACAAAATAGAAAAAAGGAACACAGAGGCAGACAGACAGCCAGGCACAGAATCCAACCCCACAGACCTTTTATTCTCTTCCATTTCTTGAGCGAAATCTCTGCCTTCTCCCAGGATCTCGCGAACCCGCTCGCTTCCGTTGCCAAGTGGAGCAAAGTCGCTAAAAGAATCCACGCCATTTCAAACACCTGCCTGTTAGCGAGACGCAAAATCTAGACAAAATGTGCGTAATCATTAGCAAAACAGAAACAGGAATGTGCGCAAATAGGAAATGAGATGGGATGAAATGTAGCCGAGATATTGGTATTTAGCCCATCAGAGACATGGGAGAATAGGTGGGGGAATGGTGTAAACTGATGGAGCTGTCATGGAATGGAAAGTTTAAATCTGCTGCATTCGAGTGACAGTGGAGTAATTTTCTGATTATCCTCAGTTGATGCGACGGTGAAAGATATATGAAGAGAGATAGAAATGATATCGATCATATGAAGAGACTATCATTAATTATTGCGTTACTCGAAAACGAATAAAGAAATGTGGAAATAATTTTGATCATAAAATATACCGTCTTTGGGGAAATTCATATTCACTTTGAGAACACGCCATATACACAATTCTTTGGTCAAACACAAATTATGTGTCAACACACGCTCGTACCTCAGACACACAAATGAATACCTATATCTTAATCAAATTTTACTTTCGTAATATTAAGGTGCATACTATGGATAAGTTTTCTTCCTATTGGGCACATAAGGATTGATAGCTTCTGCAATATTCGAGACTGATTTTTGTATTTGTTTTTCCTCCCTTTCTCCCCTGAAAGCTCACCGAGCAGCTGTCATTCAACACTTCATAAATTACAACATCTCAGAATCAATGCTATTATCATTATCCCATGTTCATACATATTTTGCCATTTCTCGTCTAGTTATTAATATATTCATTATTGCTATAACTGTCAGTATCATTATCATAATTATTGTCATATATAAGATAACTATTATCGTCATTACTATCTTCCTGTCATTATCATAATTATCATCGGATCTGTTACAGTCATTGATATCCTTATCATCATCAGTATTGTCAACATTCTTGACACTATTAATCGGCACAACCATTTCCTTAGCGATATATCTTTAGTGTTACCCTCTGAGCAGTGCAAAACTAAAATAAACGGTTGATATTGTTGCAAACTGTGTTAATGAATCATATACAGACGTAATACAATTTCACAGAACTTACCTTCTCTTGATGCTGTCTTCGATGGTATTTTGAATAATTTCTTTCACGCAATGCAAATGATTCTTAAAGTACGGAATATGTACATCTGCGATATGCTGATTTTCCTTTGGACCCTCTGTCGTTCTATATGATTTGTTCACTCACTTGTAACTTTTTACTGACGGAGAATATGGTATTGCAATAGAGTAGTCAAAGCTTTTATTTCCTTACTAAACACACAGTTCTATAAGTGTGAAATTGACTGCACTAACGCAACGCTGTGGTTAAAGGTAAAACGAAGTGAAAATTATGGCATTTTTTCCTGTATTGTCCCTCGCCTCCGGCAATTTGACACGACAGAGTATACTACAGTCAGTAAAATAAACTGAGCATTTGACTGAAATGATATTAATTTTGTAGGATGAATACCGTATGTTCAAGTAAAGGAAAAAAAAAGTATCATTTTGCTTGCCAGTGCGAATGAAATTTGAAAAATATATATATACCGCTCAGTATATCAGTTTTTGTACATTTCTCCTTTCCCGTACATTAAAACTACTAGCTAACAGATAAGATTTACGTACAGGTATATATATATGTGTGTGTGTGTGTGTGTGTGCATATATCATATAATAAGATAGAGAATAACAGATATGTATCCGATGCCTTTTTCCTTGGCAGGTTTTCATACTCAGAACAGTATTGCATCAGACACTCAAAATCTGCATAATTCACTCGTAAACATACTTCAACTCGTCCATAAAATCACACAATATTTACTTAGGTATTAGATTTAGTATGGATAGAGGCTACAAGGGGTGTAAGTTATAATAATCATGTGTCAGAATTTCTAACACGCTTAAGAAATCGCAATTGTTCTAAGGCTCATGAGCTAGTCAATTATTACCCTTTTAAGCCTTTTAGAAAATAAAACTAGACAACAAAGTCATCAAATAATGAATGAGATATAAATTTAGATTGCAAAAACCTTTGAAATATGTACAGGAGTCGATGAATAAGGCTATAAAGGTGAAGACCGTAAACTTAGACATGCTAGAAAACGAGTCTCTGTACCCGGTCTGTACACATTGTTGACTGAGCTGATGGAAGAATAAGAAATCCTCAGATAATACCACAAATATGTCTAATTTAGCCGTGCAGGATCTCCAGACTCTGGTTAGTAAATGGAAAAAGGGTGGTTTTGAATTAAATGGGTGGAACTGAAGTTAGAATAGTAAAAGAGAACTGGCAATGAGATAATGAAATGGCGGGTGAAATCCAGCTGTCACGTTATTTGATAAATATTTCGTTACATATTAGTATTTGGTCTTTGCTATTGGGTGAAGACAGGTAGGGAAGCATATAAGATGATTATATGTTGTGGGGAGATGGTGGAGGAATTGTGGGTATTTTAGAAATTTGTAAAAGGTTCTTGTATAGGCTCCCACAGACACTCAAATAGAGGTGACTTTACTTTAATGTTAGTTGGCTTTACTTTGGTTAATGTTACCGAGGACTACGCACAGAGATAGAGGGAAATGGACTCTGCTATATTGTAGGGTACAGGAAATAATCTTAAACAACATAGGTACAGGGGGTAATTTTCTAGAATACTTTCGCCAAACGGATCACAACGTATTTGATAATGTTGGATTCCTCTCACTGTCTACAATGCAACTATGTAGGATTTATTGCGCGGAAGCCCCCTCAGCCTCACACTCTTGTCACCGATAGTAGGGGAGGGCATGAAAGTTACCAGGGAAATTGTGGGGTAAAATGTAAATGATATACACAGAATGTCACTATATTGTCCAATGCAGGGGACTGTATAGTCATAATTATAACCCAGAATCAACACAATACTGGAAACAGAACATTTCTCACTGGCGTTCTGTCACTGAATGGCTGGTGGGCTGTCAAACCTGGCGGGTGGTGAATGAAAGCGTGAAACGCACGATGCGCAGATAATTCTAAATAAGTGTACAGGTAAATCTTAAAACACGTAAATGAAGTATAACAACATTAAGATAAGACAAAAAGCATAAATGTGTAACAGCAGACACTGATGATTAATTAAATATTGTTTTGACAGTAATTTTCTATATTACGTCTGCATGACCGATATCAACGATTTTCGTATCATTGGATTCCTCTCACTCTATACAATACAAACATGTAGGTTTTATTGCTCAGAAACCCCCTGTTAGCGACAAACTTGGCCCCGATAGCGGGGTCGACGATGTCGGAGCGGCGGACGTAATATATAATATTACCCTAATAATATAACCTCAGTGAAAATAATCATGGTTATTCACATGCAACCCCCCTTTGGGGGGGCTGCCGCCCCCCAACTCCTGCCGAGGAAACGAAACCTCCACCATGTATTCACGGCAGGATAGAGCGCACACGAACTAGATGCGGTGCCGATAACCTACAATAACCTAGGATTTTTAAGGTACTAACCTGATTGATTAATGCCACTAATTAGTAGGGAGGGTGCTCCTTTGCTGCAGAATTTTAAGGAGGCAGGGTGTGTCCGGCAGGAGGTCCTAGGCTGGAGGATACAGTTTTCTCCCAACGGAGGAGGCCGTGGAGGAAGCACATCTCTTAGCATTTTTTCCTGGCTAGTTGCAATTTTGCGCAGAAAATCCGTCTCCGAATACGAGCACCCTCCACACTCGGCCATCGCGGCGGCTATGACTGCCTTTGGAATGCGACGGTTATTTCGGTTAGGAATACGAATGTCGTTATTCCAGAGGAAAGGAAAATCGACCTTGAGGCCATCGGTGTAACATCGAAAGAGGTGCAAAACCCGCCTACGAGAGCGGGCCACCCTGTTCATCCTGATTATACTACAATTGTCTATATACAATGCTGACTATGCCAAGGTTAATATGCTGATTCAGTGGGAATCTTTTTAGGTAATTGTAATATTACGCCCGCCGCTCTGACATCGACGATGATTGTGTAACGCTCTAGCCTGCCGAGAATATGTGGTGGAGGTTTTGTTCCCTTGGCGGGGATTGGGGGGGCGTCAACCCCCCCCACCCCACCCCCCTCCAGGGGGGTTGCAGGGGGCACAGCCCCTGCAATGGAAAGTTATGTCAATAACCATGGTTATTTTCACTGTGCGTTATATTATTAGTGTTATTTAACCCCGCATTTTCCCTGGAACCTTTCATGCCCTCCCCTGCTATCGGGGCCAAGTTTGTCGCTAACGGGGGGTTTCCTCACAATAAAAACTATATATTTGCAATGTGGAGAGTGAGAGGAATCCAATGATACGAAAATCGTCAATATCGGTTATGCGGACGTAATACAGAAAATTACTGTTTTGACAAGCGCATAGTAACACATGAAGTACTTTGGATATCACAGTAATGTGGTCAGTGTTGTGTTATTCCTGGCAAGGCAAATAAGATGCGAGACTTAGAATCTGAGGGGTGTTTTTTCGTCATTTTTGCTGTGAGTATGAGGCCGCTGCAGGTTAAACTATGTTCTGTCCCATTCTGTTTCTTCCTCTCTTTAAGATGGTGATTTCCATTTCCCTCTATCTACGCGTGTTGTTATAAGTTACTTGTACCTTTATATGCAGGAAGTCCACTAATTGTTTCTTGTGCAAATAATTGGATGAGATCTGAGTACCATTTCTGTCAACAATCTTGATTTGTTAGTCCCAATAGCAGGGGAGGGCATGAAGTATATCATGGAAATTATGGGGTGAAACTTGTTTAAATAACAAAAGAGAATAGAAATGCATATAACTAGCACAAAAAATTATTAAAATCGGCTAGTGAAATTCTATAGACATGCCTGCCATTTTTGAAACTTACAGACATGCATCAAAATTCTAAAACCCACCTTTCAGCAAAGTCTACGAGAATTCATACCTTCTAAACCCAAAAACCTGTCCTGACCCATAAGCCAACCATGTACCATGCAAGGCCCATGGCTAGAAGAGTACTGCCTTCAGGGAAGACACTATTTCCATGCTCAGGATCTTATTCTTGCCTGTTGTGATTTTGTTATTATATTGCACAGAAACATTGATTATCTAGAGATGATTTGGAGTCTGCTCAACTAAAACAGTCTCTTACTATCTTGATTCAACATATTAGATTTCAAATATAGACTTGGAAAATGACAAAAAAGAAAAATAATTATGCAGAAAAAGAAATGATATTGCAAAGGGGGGACAAGGAGTCCTGATACCGTACATGAGTGTTTGTGTAGGCTAGGCCTATAAGCCACATCCCAGGAGAGTTGCCACTCAAGGAAGCCTTTTTCTTGGATTTTGGTTCATGTGTGGGCTCTGAGCCACCTGGATCCAGTGGGTAAAAATGTGAATTATTGTGCTCTGGAGGAATTCACATACATCTGGCAACCGTAACTTCATTGTTTTAAGATAGCCAAAAGAAAGAAGAGTAGAGAAAAAGATAACCAGATGGAAAGTTGGGTGAAATAGTTTGAATAGACTACATTACAATTAATAGGATCTCATTATTTGTTGCCCTGTTATTCATCATTTCACTGTTTCGTCACTGATCTTTTTTGGATCCAATGTCGACTTAACACATTCCATTCTTCCGTTGTTGGGGTTCTGAAAAGTTGTGTACATGTCTGCAAACACATAATAGACTATTGAGAAATAGACAATATAAGAAATTTTGTGTTAAGTAATTAAAGATAGAACATGAACTCCAGTTTATGTATATGTACCAAAAGTTGAAAGTTTGTGCAAACTGCTAATGAGAATTGTTGTATCTGTGAACAGTATATCTATTTTTTTATTAACTTTATTTAGATAAAAATGTGGTTGCTGATCTTTTTTGTAATATTTAAATGTGAAGAGTGTAGAGAACACACAAAATTATTTTTAAGCTTATAGCTATTAGTCTGAAAAGAAAATGATCCCAGGTTTAGGAATTATTATTATTTTTTTTGTTTGTAATGTAAGTATATTGGTTAGATACTTTCTAAATCCACTTAAAACTTGCAGAGGTCTGTGATAGAAGGCCACAAAATTAAGTTGAACCCAATATTAGTATTTGGGCTGATGAAAGAAAGGGGTATATTTAAACATTTCTTGCTGCTTTGTTTGTTAATTATTCTTTGTCTGTTCGTTCCTGTTAATAATAGATCCTTATTTATCATAGTTTGTATTAGAAATCAGTCCTGTTCATATTAATTATTTTGTATTTTATCAAGCTTCCTTTTGTATCGTTGTTTGTATTAGTCATGGTAGAGTGCATGCAGACCAGATCATCAGAAGCAAATGGGCTGGAGAGGAGAAAGACAGACAGACACACAGACAGACACAGAGGGGCAGAGGAATAGTACCTTATCAGGGAGAGGATAAAGCATATGCTGCTCAATAAGTTAATCTGCAGAAGTGAATACCAATAACTGTGTAGATACTAGAAAGACTGACATGCCCACAGGGGTTTGAGTAATTGCTGTGTCAGCATTTGTTCGCAATCCAGCAAAGGCCAATAGAGCTTCACCAAATGCATTCAAGTAGGAAGTAATTAGTAGGTTTTCAAGCCAACTTATTGTGAAATAAGGAACTAGTCAAAGTCATGGAAATT